ACCAGGTCGACCAGCAGTCTTGTCAGCCGACCACCCAAGTCGGCTGCCCCAAGTTGACGTCACCAAGTTGACGTCCTCCGCAGGTCGACTTCCCAGGTCGACCTCCCTGAAGTCAGCGCCACCCTGAAGTCGGCGCCCGTGCAGTGGCCCCCGTGCAGGTCGACCTCCTCGTCAACCAGCTCGCCCACTGCTGCAGGTCGGCTGCTCCCCTCACACCTGACCACGAATTCGGCTCCGCCCAAGCGAGGACGGGGCCAACACACAACTCCCGTTGACACTCCCCTGCCGCGTTCACGCTTGGGCCCCCAGCCCACACGGCAGTACTTCTCAGAGAATAGCTCGTCAACGTGCACCCAACACACAGCACGTCGTCCACCGCACTAGCCATGCATGAGGGCATGGCACCTACTGCTGCACGTCGTCAACTTCGTCACCCACGTCGGCCAAGCGCATCTGGCCGATGGCGACGGAGCACCGGTTGAAGGCCGGATAGTGCAGCGCCTTCGTCAGGAAGTCGGCCGGCTGCTCGGTGGTCGGGATGTACCTCAGCGAGAACTTCCCGCGCCTCACCATGTGTTGCAGCCAGGCATGTCGCCGCTCCATGTGCTTGAGGTTGCCCGTCAACCCCATGCCCTCGGCGACCGTGATGGCCGATTGTTGTCCACCCGGAGGACGGTCGGTTTTCCAGCATCCAGTTGCCGGAACTCTGCAAGGAGGAAGCGAAGTCGACGTCCCTCCTTGCCGGCTTCGGTGGCCGCCACGTACTCCGACTCGGTCGATGACAACGTCGCGCACTTGATGCGCTGGCTCGACCAGGAGACTGCGGCCCCTCCGTAGACGAACACGTAGCCGCCCGTGCTCGTCCTGTTCTGCTTGTCACCGGCGTCGTCGGCGTCCACGTAGCCGACCAGCTCCAGCGACTCAGGTCCACCACCAAACTCCAGGGCGGTGTCACGCGTGTTGGCGAGGTAGGCGAGGCAGCGGTCGACCTCGCGCCAGTGCTGGTCGCTCCTCACCGTGAGGCCGCTCCCCAGCTTGCTGCAGGCGAAGGCGATGTCCGGCCTCGTCGTCGTCGCCGCAAACTGCAGCGAGCCGACCTTCTGCCGGTACTCCTCCTCCTGTCGCTCCTGTGCCTCCTCGTCGTCGAAGGTGAGCTCGGCGTAGGCGTCGACCGAGACAGGCCCGGTCTGCTCTTCGTCGATGAAGCGCCTACGCAGCTTGTCGGCGTAGCCCTGCTGGTGCAGCCACAGCGTCCCCGCCGACCTGTCCCGGACGATCTCCAGCCCGAGGTACTTCTGCACCGGCGAGATCTCACGCAACTCGAAGGCGGACTCCAGCAGCTCCTTCAGCCCCTTCAGCATCTCGGTGCTGCTGCTGGTGGCGAGCAGGTCGTCGACGTAGACCAGCACCCAGCAGGCCACTCCGTCCTCTCCGACCTTGAAGTATAGAGCCTCGTCGACTTGGCTCTTCTTCCACCCGGCGCCGACCAGCATGTCGTTGAGCGCCAAGTACCACAGCAGCGGCGACTGCTTCAGCCCGTACAGGCTCTTCAGCAGCTTGCAGACCCGGCCAGTTCCGTCGTTGAAGTAGTCCGGCTGGGACATGTAGAGCACCCGGTCGAGCTTGCTCTGCAGGAAGGCGTTCTTCATGTCGAGCTGCATCAGGTTGAGGTTGAGGACGGCGACGATGCTGAGGAAGATCCTCAGGGTGACGTAGCTGCCCACCGGCGCGAACGTCTCGTCGTAGTCGGCGCCGTACACCTGCGTGAAGCCCTTCACGACCAGCCTCGCCTTCTCGCGCTCGACGGTGTCGTCGACGTGGTACTTCGTCGTCAACACCCACCGGTTCTTCATGATGTTGACTCCCGGCGGGCGTTCGACCAACTCCCAAGTGCCCATGTTGATGAGGCTGCGGATCTCCTCCTCCATGGCGGCCTTCACCTCCGGGCCCTTCCAGCTCGCCAAAGCCTCCTTCACCGTCATCGTCGAGATGTCCCAACGGTGCTCGGGGTCAGCCAACATGTCGGGGTCGAGCTCCGGAAACTCCTCATCCTCCGCGGCGTCGTCGTACAGCAGGTCGTCGTCATCGTCCACGTCGTACACTGTGGTGAAGGCAGCGGGGACGAAGAAGTCAAGCGGCCTCCGAAGTCTATCCGACTTCCGAGGTTCAGGCCGAACCTCCACCACGTCACTCTTGGTGGACTCCCCGGCGTCCTCACTGCCCTCGTCGTCCTGCTGCACCTCGGTCGACTTCCTGGTCGACCTCTCCCCTGTGGTCGGCTTCCAGTCACTGCTACCACCGCCGCCAGACGGTCCACGCTGCCCCGGTCGACCTCCTTGCTTCGCCGGGGCGACAAAGTTCGCCTGCGCCAAGAGCTCCTGGGACCGCTCTGCCTCCTGCATCGCCTCGTCCTGCAGGATGTACGAGGTCAAGTTGTCCTCGTTGAGCGTCGTCCTTGTGCTCGGCGCCATCGACAGCCGCTTCAGGAGGTTGTAGCTGCTCGAGAGTCCCTGCACGACGTGGGTGACGTACGACGCCGTCGAGTACTGCGCGCCGGCTATCCTTATGGTGGCGAGAATTCGCCGGGCTCGGTTGCAGTAGTCGGTCGCCGTCTCCTCGTCGCCCATACGCAGGTGCGTCAGCTGCCCCTCCAGCTGGGCGATGAACAAGTCGTCGGTGACTTGGTAGGTCGACTCAATGAAGTGCCACGCCCGGTGGCCGGCGTCGAGGTACTCTCGGCACCACTTCAGGGCGATCTGCACGCCTGGCGAGCAGCACCGCGAGATGACCGTGAAGGTCAACAGCTGCACGGTGCGGAACTCCGCTCGTAAGTCGGCGAGGTGCTCCTCCGGCGTCGCCACGGTCCCTCGGGCGAAGCCGATCAGCCCGGCCATCTCCAGCCGGGGCTCGATAGCTTCCTTCCAGGTGAGAATGTCTGGTCGACCAACGAGCGGCGGGGTGACCAAGATCCTGTCCGGCGTAAACTTGAAGTAGCCGTAGCTCGGCGCAATCCCGCCCGCCGTCACCTGGGTCGCCGACATCGGCGACAATCCGCTTCGTCGACCTCCGACGTCGCCCTGCGAGGAGCCTGCAGCCGCCGACGACCGCACCCCTCGCGCCTGAACGCCGCCGACTTCATCGGCGTGAATCACACCACGCTGCCTTGATGTGCCTCCCGCACTGCTGCCGACTTGACCACCACCAGCGTTGACGCCCACGTCGACGCCACCTTCGTCGTGTACCGGTCGAGGAGAGGCAGGTCGAGAAGGGTGCTCCGTCGCCCACATGGTGCGGAGTCCAGCCTCGACGACCGCCCAAGGCAGGTCGCCATACTCGTTGGCCTCGTGCTTTCTCCTCGCGTTCTCCAGCCGTGTCTCCAAGGTGTCCACCACCCCTGCGTCACCTACGGCTCCTACCATAGTGACTACCGCACAGCTGCCGGCCTACAACAACGAATTAGGTAAGTGATGTCTACGTCGACCTGACTGAAAGGTAAGTCGTGTGCCGTCCACGCTCACCGCACCATGCGGAGATAACTACTACAATGGGAGCTAGACTACGGGCTAGGCACGGGTGCTCGTGTGATCTCTGCGTTCGTTGGTCCTTAGTCGTTTTCCTAGTGCATACACTGCTTGCTAGTTCACGGGGAAAGTTGGCAAGAGTTTCACTAGAGAAAGTTGACAATAATGGTACAATGAAGTTGGCATGGTAAGACTACATCAGAGCTAGCATTCTGGTCGGTCGACTGCCAGCACAGCATGGTCGACCGCGTTCTAGCACGACTTGGTCGACCGCGCTCCAGCAGTGCAAAGTCGACGGCGGGCCAACAATGCAGGTTGACGGCGTGCCAGCGTTGCTCCCGCAGTACAGCATCGCACCAGCTTCGCAGGTGCTCGCAGATGATTAGCGTGCTGAGCCTCGTCACCTGTACAGCGCACACACCAAGTCAACCTGGCGCTGACGACTGCATCTGATCAGCCACGTCGACCTCGGGATACCACCACCGAGGTCGGACCCGCCAACTTCGCCTGAGCGACCGTCGCACTCCTCCGCAGGACTTCGTCACCCAGGTAACCTGGTCGACCGGGCAACCATGTCGACCAGTTGCTCCTGTATGTGCCCGTCGACCTCCCAAGTCGACGACCACCCCATGTCGACCTCACCAGGTCGACCACACCCCTGGTCGACCAGCTCCAGGTCGACGTCCCTCCTGGTCGACCAGCTCCACGTCGACCAGCACTCCTGGTCGACTAGCTCCATGTCGACCAGCACTCCTGGTCGACTAGCTCCATGTCGACCAGCGCAGTTGTCAGCCGACCACCCAAGTCGGCTACCCGAAGTCGGCGTCACCAAGTTGACGCCCTACTACTCGACGCCCAGCTGCTCGGCGTCCTGAGTTGAGGTCGACGTCGGCTCCGCCTTCGTCGACCACCAAGTCAGGTCAACCACCAGGTCGACATCACGCCTGGTCGACCACCACCAAGTCGACCAGCAGGCCTGGTCGACCAACCACCAGGTCGACCAGCAGTCTTGTCAGCCGACCACCCAAGTCGGCTGCCCCAAGTTGACGTCCTCCGCAGGTCGACTTCCCAGGTCGACCTCCCTGAAGTCGGCGCCACCCTGAAGTCGGCGCCCGTGCAGTGGCCCCCGTGCAGGTCGACCTCCTCGTCAACCAGCTCGCCCACTGCTGCAGGTCGGCTGCTCCCCTCACACCTGACCACGAAGTCGGCTCCGCCCAAGCGAGGACGGGGCCAACACACAACGCCATCCTCTCCTCCGCTCGCTCACACGCACATTCCCTCCACAACCCCCTGCATCCCCTCCCCTGCCACCCACACCCAACTGCTCCCTCCCCCCCCCCCCCCCCCCCCCCCACCTCCCGCTCCCCCCCCAGGTACTTCAACGTGATAGGGTCGGACCCTAGTGGGCGGCTGGGGGAGGCACCTCGCCCGGAGCTGAGGCACCACGGGCGCATCATAGGAGCGTGCTTTGACGCCGCCATGGGCAAGATTGATGGGCTCAAGGTGCCCTCCCCTCCCGCCCCCTGCTGCTCCCTCCCGGTGGTGCTCTTTCCCGGTGCTGCTCTCCCCCTGTGCTGCTCTCCCCCTGTGTCGCTCACGCTGCAGGAGGTGCTGCTGCCCCTGCAGCCCGCGCGCCGCCCTGCCGAGCCGCGCGTCGCCCCTGCAGCTCGTGGGCGCTGCCCCTGCAGCCCGCGCGCAACCCTAAACCCCTAAAAATATATATATATATATATATACTGCTGCTGCTGCTACTCGTGCTACTACTGCTGCTGGTGGAGGAGCTACTGGGAGTGCTGGAGGTGCTGCTGGTGCTGGAGGAGCTGGAGGTGCTGGACCTACTCCTGACCGTCGCTGTCTGTCATGGCCACTATCGCGGCAGTTGCTGCGGCCAGGGGTGGACAGCAGCGGGCACTGCCTCTCCCGGACGACCCCACCCCTCAGCAGCTTCGTGAGTGGGTCTTTCAGAGAGGCAGGCCTGGTGGTGGAGGTTTTGATTTTAAGTGCCTAAGCGACGTCGCGACTGTGCTTCTCAGCGATGCGTCCCTGGCTGTGTAGAGGTTCCTGCTCTCGGTTCTAGTAAGTCTGCTGCCGCTCCAGGTGCTAATGAGTCTGCTGCCGCTCCAGGTACTAGTGAGTCTGCTGCAGCTCTAGGTGCCCGTGCGTCTGCCGACGCTCTAGGTGCTAGTGCGTCTACTGCCACAGTTCCTGCCTCAGCTGAGGTCTTGAACACTTTCACGCTTGACTCAGGCGCGTCACGTTGCTTCTTTCGTGATTGCACCACAGTCACACCACTCACAGCACCTGTCCCAGTCTCACTGGCTGAACCCTCTGGGGGCCCAGTAGTTGCGAGAGCCTCCACGGTCCTCCCTTGTCCAGCAGTCCCCTCCGGCTCTCTGTCGGGTCTCTACCTCCCCACGTTCTCGACGAACTTGGTGAGCAACGCTGCCATTCAGGATGTCTGTGTTGATACCTTTATTCCTGGAGGGCAGCGTGTGGCGATCTGTATGTGCTCCCGGACTGGCCGTCACCTGGCTACGTTCACTCGCCAGCCTGGGTCTAGTCTGTACACACTGACCACTGCGTCTGCACAGGTGGCTGAGTCAGGTCAGGTGGCTGCGTCGAGTCGGGCGTCTGCGTCGGGACAGTTAGCTGCGTCTTGCTCGTGCAGAGTACTCACGCACGAGACTCAGCGCTGGCACCACCGTCTTGGTCACCCCTCCCTGCCGCGTCTACGCAGCATGCACTCCCGTCTCCTTGTCTCAGGCCTCCCCAGGACCCTGCCCCCCCTGCCGCGCTCGCTTGCCCCGCCGTGCCTTCCTTGCGTCGAGGGGCGGCAGCGCGCCGCTCCTCACTCCTCCGAGTTTCCTCCGACCACTGCTCCTCTGCAGACTCTCCACATGGATGTGTGGGGCCCAGCCCCCATCTGTGGAACGGACCGCGAGCACTACTTCCTGCTGGTTGTTGACGACTACACACGCTACACCACTGTCTTCCCCTTGCGGCGCAAGGCGGACGTCAGCGGTGTCCTGATCCCCTGGATCCGTGCTACTCGTCTCCAGCTGCACAAGCGGTTTCAGCAGAACTTCCCAGTCCTGCGTCTGCACTCTGACAGGGGCGGTGAGTTCTCATCTTACCTCCTTGCGGGGTTCTGTCGAGACGAGGGCATCCGCCAGACGTTCACGCTTCCGGCCTCTCCTCAGCAGAATGGGATTGCTGAGCGTCGCATTGGCTTGATCATGGAGGTTGCTCGCACCTCCATGATCCATGCGGTTGCTCCCCATTTTCTGTGGCAGTTTGCGGTCCGATACGCTGCGCATCAGCTCAACCTCTGGCCCCATGTCTCTGTGCCAGAGACCTCGCCCACCCTCCGGTGGACGGGGAAGCCTGGTGATGCGTCAGTGTTTCGGGTCTGGGGCGTGCTCTCCCTTGTTCGCGATGCCAAAGCGAGCAAGCTCTCCTCTCGCACTCTCCGCTGCGTCTTCCTTGGCTTCCCCACTGACGCCCCGCCGTGGCAGTTCTACCACCCGCGCTCGCGTCGAGTCTTCGCCTCCCAGGACGTCACCTTTGACGAGTCTGTCTGTTACTACCAGTTACACCTGCACGCGTCCCACCCGGTTCCCCTAGCACCCCTCTTCCTGGTACCAGTCCCCCCCCCCGGTAGACCCCCTCCCCCCACAGGGTCCTGCTCCCTCAGGTGTGTCTCAAGTCGACCCACCCCCCTTGGATGAGCCAGTAGAGATCTCTTCTGACTCCTCTGGCCCAGCTAAGGGGGGTGACCCAGTTGCGGACGACACGGCGGCCACTCGCCGCTCTCCACGCTTGGAGACCCCCCCGGGTTTTCCGCCTCGACCGTCTTCGCCGCCTCCGCAGCCTGCTGTTGTCGACTCTGGAGCTGAGACTACAGGTGCTGAGACAGAGGGTGAGGGTTCTGGAGGTGCTGTGCCTGGGGGTGCTGGTTCTGGGGGTGCTGCGACTGGGGGTGCTGGTTCTGGGAGTGCTGCGACTGGGGGTGCTGACTCTGGGGGTGCTGCGAGTCCTCGTGACGGTGGAGTTGTGGGTGACCCTGTTGGAGGTCCTGGCGCTGGAGGTACTAGAGGTGCTTCTGGTGCTGGAGGTGCTAGAGCTACCACTCCTGGAGGTGCTGGAGCTGGACAGCCACCGCAGCCTGCTCTACTTGAGACGCTCTCGCCGCAGGCGATTCGTGCGTGGGTCGTTCGGCAAGGCAGTCCTGGTGGTGGAGGGTACGGTCATGCTGGTGCTGGAGCTACTAGTCCTGGAGGTACTGCTGGTGGTGGAGGTCCTAGAGGTGCTTCTGGTGCTGGAGCTACTAGTCCTGGAGGTGCTGCTGGTGCTGGAGGTGCTGGAGGTACTGCTGGAGGTACTAGAGGTGCTACTGGTGCTGGAGGTACTGGAGCTGCTAGGCCTGGAGGTACTGGAGGTGCTACTGGTGCTGGAGGTGCTGCTGGTGCTGGAGGTACTGGAGCTGCTGCTGGTGCAGGAGGTACTGGAGCTGGAGGTACTGTAGCTGCTGGTACTGGAGGTGCTGGGGGTACTGGAGCTGCTGGCACTGGAGGTGCTGGTGCTACTGGTGCTGGAGCTGCGGGAGCTGCTGGTCCTGGAGGTGCTACTAGAGGTGCTGACCCTGGAGGTGCTGGTGCTGCTCATGCTGGAGGCGCTGGAGCTGGAGGTACTGGAGGTGCTGGAGCTGCTGGTCCTGGAGGTGCTCGTACTAGAGGTGCTGGAGCTGCCGGAGCAGGAGGTACTGCTGGTGAGAGCGGCACAGGGGGAGAACACCACACCACTTCCCATGTGCACCACACCACTTCCTATGTGCACCACACCACTTCCCATGTGCACCACACCACTTCCCATGTGCACCACACCACTTCCCATGTGCACCACACCACTTCCCATGTGCACCACACCACTTCCCATGTGCACCACACCATTTCTCATGTGCACCACACCTCCTCTCCTCGCCCCCTTCTCCCCCTCTCGCAGGAGGAGGCGGAGGCGGGGGCGTTGGAGCGCATAAGGGAGGCGCTGCTGGCGGGGGGGGCGGCGCGCAGTGTGGAGCTGAGCGAGGAGGAGGCGCCCCTGGTGGCGCAGCTGTGCCTGCTCACGGCCAAGCCCATCATCTACGCCGCCAACGTCGCTGAGACCGACCTCGCCCACCCCTCCTCCAACCCGCACGTCACCGCTGTGCGCCAGCTGGCGTCCAGTGAAGGAGCCGAGTGCGTGGTGGTCTCCGCGCAGGTCCGTTGCTCCGTTGGTCCGTTGGTGCTGCCCATGTCTGCCACATTCGCCTGTTGCCACTCTGCCCACCATACCCACCCTCACTGCATCATTGTAATCACCCACACTGTACGCACCGTCACCTTGCTCACGGGGGCACGGGCCCATGGCATGGCATGGCATGGCATGGCAGGTGGAGGCGGAGCTGTGTGAGCTGGGCGAGGCGGACCGGGTGGAGTACCTGGCGGCGCTGGGCGTGCAGCAGGGCGGGCTGGCAGGCCTCGTGCAGGCCACCTACCGCCTGCTGGGCCTGCGCACCTACTGCGGGGGAGAAGGTGAGGGGGAGGGGGAGGGGGGAGAGTTGAGGGGGGAGGGTTGCAGTGCAAGGGGCAAGGGACTTGGAGTTGCGAGGGGTGGTGGTGGGAGGCCATGGTGATGGTCAGTCTCGAGGTTTTCCATGCCCCACGCCTGCCATGCCCATACCCAATGTCTCACACAACCCCTACGTGCGTGCAGGAGACGAGGGCGTGGACGATCCGGGCGGGCATGACGGCACCGCAGGCAGCGGGTGTGATCCACACCGACTTCGAGCGCGGCTTCATCCGCGCCGAGACCGTACCGCCCCTCCCCTCCCCCCCTCCCTCTCTCCCTCTCTCCCTCACCACCTCCCTCCCTCGCCCCTCGCCTCCTTGCTTCTCCGTGTACCTCACATGGTGTGGCACCCACCACCACTACTGATTCCTGGCAGCACGTGGTGTCACCGCAACTCCCTTGTGCCTGCATCGCATCTCTGCTCGCCCACCACAGCATTGGACAGCCGTGCCAGCCTTGTGTCTTGACGAGCCTAACCTTGTTCTCTGTGTAAAGTAAAGGGCATTGAGCTTACGTGACACCCTGACGTGGCGAACACAAATCACAAATCATGTCGATATGAAATACAATTGGTTGCGCGGCTCAATTTCCGGAAGCAATTGTGGGATGGATTTCACATGTCCGCAACAAATGTTGACTGTCCACTCTGACCTGTCACTGATTGACCCAAAATCTCGAGGTCAGCACGTGTAGTCACGTCACCGTCAAACCCAAACTTGGCACCCCAACCTCACGAGCCCAATTCACGTCTAGGGGGGTGTGAAATTGGAGGTATAGAATTTGGCGAGCGTCAGGTGTACTGCCCTACTGTCGCGCTGCTGCCGCTGCTCCGCGCGCTGCTGATCGCGAGAACTGCTGCCACTGCTGCTCGCGCACGCGCGCGCTGTTGCTGCCGCTGCCTGCGCACGCCGCTGCCACTACTGCTGCACGTGCTGCTGCAACTGCTGCTCACACGCGCACGCCCTGTCGCTGCTCGCACGCGCTGCTGCCGCCGCTCCCGCTGCTACTTCTCGCAGCCGCCCGCTGCCCGATGCCCCCTGCCGCCCACTGCCGCCCGCTACCGAGCCGCACCGCCGCGCCGCCCTGCCTACAGCCGAGCTGCGCCGCCGCGCCGCCCTGCCCACCGCCGCGCCGCACTTCCGCACTGCTTGCCGCCGAGCCGCCCTGCTGCAGCGCCGCGCGTTACTGCCGTGTCACCTACTACCATGCCACCCTCTCTTCCAGTGCACCCCGAGCCGCCGCCCGTGCCTAGACCTGCAGCTAGTCCCCAGTGTTGCCGCCTGACCTTGTTTATGTCATGGCCAGTATTACTGTACTAGAGTTTGACGCGGAGGGGCGCCCTATCGAGTTCGAGTCATGGCTAGAGGACCTGCACATGTACCCATAGAGTGTCACCAAGGACGACGTCTCGCTGTTTGAGCACACGTCAGAGTCCCTCAAGGCCCCCAAGCCTCTAGTTAAGCCTGCCCCTACTGCTGCGGAGGATGTGCAGAAGCGGTACCGGGCTGACCGCATTGCCTGCACGCAGTGGACGGCGCGTGACGCGGCTGCCACACTTGCAGTCCGCGCTCACCTCTCGCCCGACCAAAGGGCCCACTTTCGCCAGGTGAAGTCGGCCCAGACCTTCTATGACGCCGTAGTTAAGCGCCACTCCTCCCCCTCTTCTGCCACCCTAGGCCGTCTTGCGCTGCCGTTTCTCTTCCCTGAGCTATCAGACTTCACCGCTGTAGCTGACCTCATGGCCAATCTGCGCTACCTTGACTCTCACTACCGTGCTGCTCTCCCGCCAGAGTTTCTGGCTGAGAACCAGCCCCCCATGTACCTCACTCTGTACTTCCTCGTGACTCACCTCCCTGACACCCTTCGTGCTGTTCGAGACCACTTCCTCTCCCTAGACCCCACTAGTCTCACCCTTGCCTCGTTTGAGACTCGTCTCCTTTAGGCCGAGACCAGTGCCCGCACTGTCGCTGCCTCCCGTGGCACCCCCGGCACCTCCTTTTTTTAGGGGTGCACTCCCTCCCTTCTAGCGTCCTCTATTGCCTCTGCTGCTGCTGTTGACTTCCTCGGTGGTGAGGAGGTCAGCGCTGCGTCCACTCCTAGCGGGAGGCGCAACAGGGGTGGGCGTAAGAGGAGTGGGGGTGGTGGGGGTGGTGGAGGTGGCGGAGGCGGTGGGGGGAGCAGGGCTGGTGGGGGTGACGGGGGTGGCGGGGGTGGGGGAGGGGTTGGGGGTGGTGGTCGTGGTGGAGCTGGCGGGGGTGGTGGCACACGTGCGGCGCTTGGTGGAGCTGCGTCTGGTGGAGCAGCAGGTGGAGGTGGCGGTTCTGGGGGTGGACTGCAGCAGCAGCAGCAGCCACGTCGGCAGGAGACTCCCTCGCCGCGGCAGCTTCGTGAGTGGGTTGCTCAGCAGGGCTCCACCGGCGGCGGTGGGCCTGCTACTGGTCATTGCCCGTACGTGTGTCGCACTGGCCGTCAGGTCGGCATCGTCTGCGGCAAGATGGGGCACGGTGGGGCTTGCTGCTTCTGGCGCCTCGAGGACGCCTTTTGCGGCGAGTTCGGTGAGCAAGCCAGGGTCCCCGACTGGTTATGATTGCTTAAGAGGGGCGTTGATATATTTTCTCTTGATTGGAACAAGATTTCTGTAGGCATGTATGCCATATATGCTGCTGGTGCGAGTGCTGAGGGTGACCATCATTCCTGTGTGTCTAGGTCAGTCTGTGTAGAGGATGCTAGTGTAGGTGCTTGTGAGACTGCTAGCACAGGTGCAGTTCTTGCGGAGGCGTTGCTCTCGTTCACGCTGGACTTTGGCTCGATTCGGTGCTTCGTCCGCGACTGCACCACTTTCACACCACTCTCGGCGCTTGTCCCTGTCACTCTGGCCGACCCCACCTCTGGACCGATCGTTGCGCGCAGCTCCACTGTTCTCCCGTGTCCAGCAGCCCCCTCTGGCTCCCTCACAGGTCTCCACCTCCCCTCGTTCGCTACGAACTTGGTGAGTACCGGTCACCTCCAGGATCTGTTGGTCACCACCACGGTTCTTGGGAGCGAGCGCGTGGCGATCTGTACGGACACAGAGACTAGAGACCACCTTGCCACGTTTACACGGAGGTCTGGGTCTGGACTGTGCACACTGCACACTGAGTCCCCTCAGGTGGCTGCGTCAGGTCAGGTAGCGGCGTCTTGCTCATGTCGGTTGTTCACGCACCCGTCTCTCCTCTGGCACCACCGTCCTGGTCACCCCTCCCTTCTGCGCCTCCGTAGCATGCATTCGCGTCACCTTGTTTCTGGCCTCCCGCAGACCCTGCCCCCGCTCCCGCCGTCGCTTGCGCCGATGTACACTCCATGCGTCGAGGGGCGGCAGTGCGCTGCTCCTCACTCCTCCTCGTTTCCTCCGACCACTTCTCCTCTGCAGGCACTGCACATGGACGTGTGGGGCCCCGCCCCTGTGCATGGGCCGCGCCAGGAGCGTTACCTTTTGCTTGTTGTCGACGAGTTCACGCGCTACACCACGGTGTTTCTCTTACAGCATAAGGGCGACCCGTGGTGTCTTAATCTCTTGGATCCGCGCTCTTCGTCTCCAGCAGAGAGCTCGTTTCCAGCACGACCTCCCGGTGCTTCGTCTGCACTCTTACCGTGGGGGTGGGTTTTCCTCCCGTCTCCGGTCTCCGTGGAGGTTCTCGGGGTGCTGTCTCTGGAGGTCCTGCCGCTAGGGCGGTAAGTGTGCTGGAGCTGGAGGTGCTGAGTCTGAGGGTGTTGGAGGTGCTGGAGCTGGAGGCGTTCCTGGGACTGGCGGTCCTAGTGTTAGTACCGGAGGAGCTGGGTCTGGTGGTGCTGCTGCTAGGAGGGTAATGCGCTACTTTGCCAGTACATCAGGCTTGGGGCTTGTGCTTGGGGGACAGGGTCCAGTTGTGCTCACAGGGCACTCAGACGCTTCGTGGGCCGATGGCCAGGCGACTTCCCAGTCCTCAGCCTTGGCTTCTGTCTCGTGGAGGTCCACTCGCTCGTCTTCTGTGCTCAGCTCCAGCTGTGAGGCCGAGATCTACGCTGGGGGTTTGGCTGCGCAGGAGTTACGCTGGCTGACCTACTTGCTCACCGACTTGGGTGAGCAGCCTCGTTCTGCACCGGTTCTGTTCGCTGACAACATGGCCATGATCGCCTTGTGTCAGGAGCAGAGACACGGGAGCAGAACGAAGCACATTGCCCTTCGTTACTTTCTCCTACGACAGTTGCAGCAGCGTGGTCAGGTTCGCCTTACCTACGTGGCCTTCGAGGGCAACATTGCTGATATTTTCACCAAGGCCCTTGGGTCTAGTGATCATCAGCGTTTCTGACTGCTCTTGGCCTTGTGCCTACTCTGCCTCACTTGCTTGCCTCTTGATCTCGTCTTGTACTTGCTGAACTATGATATATATCTATACCTGCATGTGTACACTTGCTAGGTTGTGATCATTGCACTGCCTTAGTTGTTATAACACTGCATGTGAACTGGCCTTGTGGCCGCTTGCTTGTGCTCAGACTGTGTGGTGATCTTGAGATCGACACTGAGCGTTGTTTTGCTGCTTCTCTTGACTGGTCTTGTGACCGTTTGTGGTTCTTGCTGTCTCTTGATATCCCTCACTTAGCCTATGGGGGTGTGTCAAATGTTATATTTATAGATAGGTTGTAGTGAGGCATGCTGTAGAGGGTACAACCCGCTTAGGGTTTCCCATATGTATCCCTCATCCTGCTAGTCAATCACCATTCCGCTGCTAGGGTTTCCCATATGTCTGAAACGCGCGTCGCCCTAGTGCGACGCTTACTGTATTTTACACGGCCACCACCATTAAAAATGCTGAAATCACGGACGAGTTGCACGATGCCCCGTCATCAGCAACACTTTGCACGCGTCTAGAAATGTCCCTCCCTCACGGGTGCCGGCGTAATGTACCTGGACACCCCACGAACTGCAATTTCACCCCGGGAAAAAAACAGCATGCTCTCGGGCATATCTGAACATGCTGGTAACTGCCAGCATGCAGCGTTCCCATTCCCAAAAACTGATGCCACTGGTCTCAAAAGTTTTGCTACAATGTTTTATCCAATCCAAGCGCAAAAACAGCCTCCTGCCGCAGTCGCGGCCCCGCCCTGCTGCAGCTGCCGCGGAGCCGCCTACAGCAGTCGTGGCCCCGCCCTGCAGCAGCTGCCGAGGGGCCCCCTGCCGCTGTCGCGGCCCCGCCCTGCAGCTGTCCCGGCCCCGCCGTCGCCGCCGTCGTGCGCCTACCGTGCTCGCCCGGCGAGCGACTGCCCTTCCCGCCACTGGTGAGCACTTGCCCTACCCGCGCTTCCCGCGCGCCTGCCTTACTAGCGCGCTGCTACTACTGTTTCTGCTGCTACTGCTGCTGCTACTGCTACTACTGCTACTGCTGCTCCTGGCGGTGGCCAGATGCAGCTCCAGCGACGTCCGCGTGAGCCCCTCACGCCCCAGTAGCTT